TATTTTAAGATCAATGTGTGAATACCTTTCAATTGATTCATAGCTGGTTTCACAAATTTTATGTTAATTTATGATATTTTGGTGATGTTTGCATAAGACAAAAATACATTTATCTTGTGCAACAAGTCAATGGAAGATACTAAGCTGATATATGACAGGAAGATACTTGCATTTAAAATTTAAACAAAAATTCATCTTGAACATATAAACACATGAATAGAACATAGTGTGATTTCTATCATCTGTATGCCAGAGAAGCAGCTGAAATCTCTAGAGAAGTTAAAGCAGAATTCCTCTGAAAATTAATTTTTTATTGAAATATTGAGGATAATTATGCAGTAAGTGATCCAAACGAAATAGATATTTATGAAATTTGCTTACTGATGTGGTTGTAAGTGATATTGGGATTTCATTACCACTTACAGGGATTAGTATCAACTGTGTATGAAAGGATTTTTTCTTCTGCTTGTCCATCATGTTGAGGACTAGATTGATGAGATATATTATCTTGAGCAAATAAGAATAAAGTAAATAAATTTCTTATGTAAAATAGAATAACTAGTTAAGAAAGAGCTGACATATAAGAATGTGCAGGATTGAAATCAGTAGAAAGATGCAGTCTCAGAGAAAAACATTCATGTAAAGAAGAAAGATAAGGAATTAAAAATTTCCACATGGTGACCCTTTGAAATATAAGGATATTATGGTGCTTCTATGTCAAGTAAGCAAAAGGTTATGCTTAGTGGAATCTGTTTAATTCCCCACATCCTACTAGTAGACCCCATTTAATATTCCAATTATTTAAGAAAATTTTATATAGCCAATGATTCTCTCCCTACACAGGTGATGCTTCTTAAAAGCAAAAATGTATTCTCTTTGTACAGACAAATGTATACTATCCAAACAGAATTACATCTGTTGAAAGCATTATAATATTAACTTCAAAACTAACAGAGTCTATTATGATCATGCAGACTATAATTCATTTCCATGAAAATTAAATAGCATGTATTTTACTGAGGAATATTTATTTTTATAAATCAGTTTTGTTAAGAATGTACATTTTGAAGAAGCAGGTTCATGAGGAAATTTTTCATTTTTGTATATATATGAATGTTCATATGTACATACTTTAAAAGCCACTCAAATAAATTATTATGTAATATTCTATGGATAAAAATTCAAAAATTGTTTGACTCCCAGTTGTTAGCTTCATTACATATGTCATTAATGTAATTTTATGAAATATAAAATATACAAAACAAACTTAATACTACTACATATCTTATTTTCAGACTACATGATATAATATTTAATAGATAATAGTATCATTTCAAAAACAGAAATAGCTTAAGCATACATCTTTATTGATAATGCTCCATGAGTTGTTCTGCCACAATGGCATTAGAGAAAAAAATCAGACCCCATTAGTCAGTTACAGAAACATGTCAATCATCAAAATGTCTCAGTTTCTGGGATGATTTTTGCTAGTGTCAGAATTTACACACCTAATTCAAGGTTCTCCCTATTGTGAAATAATAAAGTTCTTCAAAATAAATCCAAGAATTAAAAATAGCCTCCAAGAAATTCCATCCCTTTGCCATTATTTTTAATACAACACCAAGTTTGGAGGAAAAATGTGGAACTCTTTTTATAGACTCTGGAGACTGTTGTTGTTGTTAGATGCCATGGAGTCACTTTCAACTGTGTGAAACTATATGCAACATAATGAAACACTGTCCATCCTACACCATCCTGACAATCATCACTATTTTTTAGCCCATTGTTGCAGTCACTGTGTCAATTGATTTCACCTTCCTCTTTTCCCTGCCCACATACCAAAAATGATGTCCTTTTCCACGTACAGGTGTCTCCTGATAACATGTCTAAAATGCACATGTTGAATGCTCACGATCCTGGTTTCTTGGGAGTGTTTTCTGACTCTATTTCTTCCAAGAGAAATTTATTCATTTTGTCAGGTCATGGTATATTCAATAATCTTAAATGACACCAAAATTCAAATGCATAAATACTTAATTGTTCTTAATTATTCATTGCCTTGCATATGAAGAGATTGATAATACTATGGCTTGGGTTAAGTGCACCTTACTCCTCAAAGCAACATCTTTGCTTTTTGAAAACTTTAAATAAGTCTTTTGTAGGAGATTTACCCAATAGAATAAATTGTTTGAATTTTTTTACGGCTACTGCCATGGTTAAGGAGCTCTTCTTGGGTATTGATTAAGGTATTTGTCTGCTAATCAAAAGGTTGATGGTTTGAACACACCAGACGCTCCATGAAGGAAGATGGGGCAGTCTGCTTTCATAAACATTTATAGCCTTAGAAGACCGGTAGGGATGGGTATGAGGTGTAATTGACCTTATGGTACTGAGTTTTTGTTTGCTTGTTTGTTTTGGTTTGTTTTTACTGTCATTGGTAATGATTGTAGTACCAAGTGAAAAGAAATGTTAGACAATATCAATATTTTCTCAGTTTATCATGATGTTGCTTATCAGTCCTATTGTGAGGATTTTCTTTATATTGAGGTGTGATCTATACAGAAGACTGCAGTCTTTGATATTTATCAGAAGTGCTTCAAGCCATGTTCACTTTCAGAAAGTGAGCTTGTGTCATCTGCATATCACAGGTTGTTAAAGAGTCTTCCTCCAGTCTTAATGCTGTGATGTTCTTCATATAGTCTAACTTCTTGGATTACTTGTTCAATGTACAAATTGAATAAGTATGGTCAAAGTATACAACCCTGACACCTTTCTAGATTTCAAACCACAGAGTACTCACTTGTTTTGTACTAACTACTTCTTCATCTATGTGCATCATGTACTCTTGTAGGTATAATAAGATTACTCCACAGTTAATATGAAAAATACTTTAAGGAGAAGCTTTATAAATTGTTATCTTATTCCTAAGATTTTAGCGCACATGGAGTGCATGTTATGCTCAGCATAATTGGCTAAATTCTCACTTTCTGTAGCTCTTTTTTGTCTTATTAAACAAAGCTCAAGCATCCCCTAGTCTTTCTAATAGGTATCCTAAGTAATATCCTGGGAGCTCTGGTAGCATAGTGCCTAAAGAACTTGACTGCTAACTACAAGGCTGGAGGTTCAAACCCACCAGCCACTCTTCAGAAGGAAGGTTGGCAAATCTACTTCCATATTGATACTGCCTCAGAAACCTACGGAGGGGTCACTAGAAGGCGGGTCCAACTCAAGGGCACACAACAACAACAAGTAATAAACCACTTTCTCTGTCCTTTGGAACATTTGAAAATAATAGAGATCTTCCAGAGGTAAAGAGTTGATGGTGAATTAGATTAAGATGCTAAATTAGAGTGAGGAAGTTGTTGTAAAGGAGGAGGTGAAAGTCAGGGGTCTAATTATGAGAATATGAAAGGGAGAGGAGAAGAAAGAAAACAGAAACTGAAAGAAAGATAGTAACCATAATAGATAGACACCAGGAGTGAGTGGGGCTATGAGAGTTGAATGGGATTTTGAGAGAGGTGAGGAGGTCATTTGGGAAAGAAGAAGGTAACAGTTCTTTCAGACTTTTTTTTTTTTTTTTCCTGAATTATTGCCCAAATCTTCGTACTGATTTCTCGGTAAGAATCCCTGCAATTACCTCTGGATTTTGTCAGATAATTTTCTTTCCTCGTTACCTTCTTAGAGATAACAAAGTATCAATTGTATCTACGATTTAGGAGGTTTATATTGTGTGATACTAGCCAATATAATAGTTTTTCATTCTGAAGCTCTGACTTTCAAATATTTCATGAAAAATACCACTAATGTTGGTGATTTTGAGGACCTTTCAGAGATTTATTGTTAACATAGTTGAGATGTGAGGGGTAAGCTCATACTTCCTCTCTTACTTCATCTTCTGTTACACATTTTATAGCTACATTTGCTTAAGAATAAAATGTATATACATAAACAGTGTTGGCATTTTTTTCCACAGTAAGTATATTGATTCCATTCTTATGACGCAGTAACTTTGAAATGTCATTAAGCCAACACTGACTTAAAAACATTTTTAAGAACTTGTGCTTTTTCAACTTTTAGAAAATCCTGTTAACTACTAAAAAAAAAGTTACTAATATAATTAATCTCAGTAGCTCTGGTAATGTAGTGCCTAAGGAACTTGGCTGCTAACCAGAAGGCTGGTGGTTTAAACCCACCAACCACTCCTCCGAAGGAAGGGTTGGGAAATCTACTTCCATAGTGGCACAGCCTCGGAAACCCAAGGAAGGTCACTATGATTCGGGTCCGCCTGGATGGCAGCTAACAACAACAACATAATTAATCCCAGTGGACTGACCCCAATATTTGTTGGGGAAAAAAATCAAAGTGCTTTATCTTTCCAGAGGCTGCAGTTACCACTTCCCTGTGAGATTTCTAGGAGATATAAGTACATCAGTGTCATCCAGAAAGTAATCATCAAGCAAGACAGAGATTCAAGACACACAATATATATTTCTTTACATGGTTTACAGTAAAAACACACATTTCTGAGAATGGTCTCTCCAGTGCATGATCAATGAAGAAAACTGACATGTCACTGTGTTGCATTCTACATCAGTGAGTCTTTGTGAGAGACAATGTGTGGAGGTGAAACAACATATCAGTCAGCAGGTATGCTCATTTGTTTTTATCCTGTTGCTTTCTTGCTTTTTGGTTTATATTTTTATTTTTAAATTCAATTTAAAGAAAAACAAAAACAAAGACTCTAAATTGTGCAAGGTATACTGATTTCATTTACTGAAATTGACGTTTCTAGTCCTATATTCTCATTCCTTCATTTCATTTTATCATTAAGAACATACGCATCCCATAATAATGATAAATGAAATGTGAATCTTTAAATGCGCATACCAAATATCACAGTTTTTATTTCATATGATGATAATTTGCCCTCCATTTTGTTTGGAATCATTTCTTATTTCTTTATCCTTTGGCTTCAACAGAACTGAAGCATACTGACAGACATGGACAACCTTACTGCCTTCACAGAATTCCTCCTTGTGGGTAACGCAGGCTCACGGGAGCTTCAAGTCTTGCAAGGTCTGCTATTCCTAGTAATTTATCTGGGAGCCTTGGCTGGGAATCTTCTAACCTTTTTGGTCATTGTGACAGACCCACATCTTCACCTCCCAATGTACTTCTTTATAGGCAACTTAACCCTCATAGATTTTTGTTATATCTCAGTAACTGTTCCTAAAGCAATTGTGAACTCTCTAACAGACAGTACACTGATCTCCCTTAAAGAATGTATTACTCAAACTTTCCTGTTTATCTTATTTGGATCCACAGAGTTCTTTTTCCTTGTGGTCATGTCCTATGACCGTTATGTTGCCATTTGCCGCCCTCTGCATTATCAGCTCATCCTCACCCTGCGTTTGTGCACACGAATCGCAGGGGCCTCGTGGGCTGGTGGGCTGGTCTATTCTGCAACTCACACAGGCACCTTATTCAGACTTCCTTTCACAAAGTCCAATGTGATTCACCAGTTATTTTGTGATATTCCTCAGATCCTAAGCATCTCATCCCAGTCTGTGCAATTTTCTGAGACAGTAGTCCTTGTGCTAAGTGCTTGCATTGTCCTATTTTTCTTCATCATCTTATTCATCTCATATGCTAACATATTCTCTACTGTGCTTCAGATGCGATCTGTAGAAGCCCGAAACAAAGCTTTATCTACCTGCTGCCCCCAGATAGCTACTATTATATTGTTCATAATCTCTGGGTTATTTGCTTGTTTGGGGCCCATCTCTGAGGTATCTACTATTCAAAGCTTTCTCACTGCTATGTTCTACTTCATGGTGTCTCCCTTCATAAACCCCATCATCTTTAGCCTGAGGAACAGGGAGATCAAGAGTGCTCTCAGCAGAATGTTTAATAGATCTTCCAAGGTCCCCTAGAGAGTTATTGTGCTTTTATGTTTTGTTTTGTTTTTGTTTTTTACTGTAAATAATTTTTAAATAAGCATATGCTATTACCCAAAAAAGTAGACATAGTTAATATTTTAAACATTTTGTCATTTTTTGGGAAAAAAAAAAAAAAAAAAACTCACTGCTATCAAGTTGGATCACACTCATAGCAACCCCTTCTCGGGTTTCCAAGACAATATCTCTGTGGAAGTAGATTGCCATATGAATGATCAGCAGACAGTAATTTGAAAAAAAAGTTTACTTGGATACAATTAATTATTATTTCTTTTACTCACCCTATTTGAATGTCAAATGCTTTGTGTTAAATATTCAATATACTGAATTGTCTTACTAATCACAAGTTCTTTTAAATTAAAAGAAATTCTAGGGAGATCAATTATTTTCTCATGTGTACTGTGTTTGGCAAAACTTTAGTAAAATGCATGCTTACCTAACAGTAAATAATAATAATAATAATAATAATAATAATAATAATGCCTAAAGAGTTTAATTTATTTTATTTTTGGTGACAATATGTACATCAAAGTATGTTCTCATTTAAGTATTTCTACACATACTGTTCAGAGGCATTGGTTACATTCTTCACTTTTTTTGACATCCCTCTTTACTTATTTCACCTCGTTTACTTTAGACACTCCTCCTAAACTTCTCTTCTCTTGTTTAGTTACTGTCATTTGGTGTCATACAGATTTTTTTTTAAAGTGTAATACTTAAGGATGACATTCTTTTTGAGCTAAATTATTTTTTGTTTGTTTGTTTGCAATTATTTTTTTCAAATATAATATGATTTTTTCATCATGTGTACTTCATAGCATATTTGGATTTTAATCCTTTATTTCAGTATACCTGCATTTATGTATCTATAAGTACACAATCTATAATTATTTTTAGATAATTACAAGGAGAAATACTTCCTCCTCCAAGAAAGCCCATATGTATCAGTGTACATAATGACAAAAGATTTATTCCAAATTTCTCAGAGATTTAGAATTCAGAGTTCCCATTTTGAGTATTAACAGTGCCAAGGGGGGGGGGAGATAATTGATATACACACTAAGGACACAGATATTGCTTTCTTGTATCCATGAAATAAAAGGAAGATGGTGAACAACATATGCAAATGCCTATCATATGACAAACACTTCTGATAAAGATTCAATATTTAAAATAATTATTTAGAAAGAGAAAAGGTGAAAAGATAACTAATGTGTCTGATTTAGATACTAATATGACTTGGATAGCTTGTGATGGTATGAATCTGAGGGTCTGGTAATTTAGAAATGGGTGGCAATGGGAAATAAGAAATTCAAATTTAATATAGATTCTATGATTATTTCCATCAGAGAGAAAATATTTTTTTTTCCTCTCTCAATACTCTTAAAATCTGCTTTTACAGTATTGTATATGTAATCTGAAAGTTTTTAGTTTACTAGTGTACAGTTAAAGAGATTTATTCCAGAATTGGAGGCAATTTATACTTAGGAAAAAAAAAAAAGATTGTTATGATTTACATGATTTCCAGATAAACAAACTTGAGCTATTCTAATAATTAAATCTTGAATCTAAAAATGACAGTCATGATTTGTATCCCTATTTGAACACATCTCATGATTATTCCTCCTTCAACTATAATTGTTACATAAAGATGAATTCAAATGTTATACGTTTATCTGTACATATGTGTGTGTATTTTAACAAATTCCAATAAATATTACCATGATGTAAATTGAATTTTGTTTTATTTAAATCAAATGAGCCAGTGAAAGTTATGGAAATTGTTACTAATTTCATATTTAACTGCTGCTTTGTCCCTTATAACACTCAAAAAAATTTGCCCTAATCTATGTATGTCTAAGCATCCCAAGCACAGTTTACTAATTTTTTTCAACATTCTTTACCACGTTCATGTTCCTACCAACAATTCATTGGTTTCACACTTACTCCATATTCATGTTTAAGCAAGCAAAACCCAGTTACATAATTCATATCACTCTTATCTTTATAAAATTATGGTTTACTTTCATCTGAGTTGTATTTGTCAAATTTCAAGTGGTTTAGAAATTTTCATATTTGGCAGAAATATAGCAACTCATAGATGGAGCAATCTACCTCCATAGTGATACTGCCTTGCAAAACCTAAGGAAGGGTTGTTATGAGTCGGGTGTGATTCAATGGCACATAACAATAACAACATAGGAACTCATATGGACAACATGTGAATTTTAAAAAATATTTTTGTACCATCATTAATGGGTTTCTGGCCATAGTCTTTTGATTTGATGATGTGTTTATCTATGTTCATATCTTATACTCATTCCTTGCTAATTAAGGCCAAGGGAAACCATGTCTTTTGTAGTTCTATTTTTGAAGAGATTATTTTAATAGCAATAAAATGCTATTTTCTGCATCTTCTGGTTATTGTATAGGAAGAATGTTGTTGTTTGTTATGTGCTGTCAAGTCGAACCCAACTCATAGTGAGCCCTCCTTGGGTTTCCAAGGCAGTATCAATCACTATGGAAGTAGATCGCCCAACCTTCCTTCTGAGGAGTGGTTGGTGGGTTTGAACCACCAGCCTTCTGGTTAGCAGTCAGGTGCCTTAGGCACTATGCTACCAGAGCTCCCAGGTAGAATGTACTAACCTACAATTAAAAGAGTATCTATATTTTGTGCTACTTCTATAGTGTTATCTTTCAAATTTTGGCTTTGAATCTATCTACTGATTATCACTTTAAAATAGTAAAGAAAGATTTCATTTTTTTAAATTCATTTTTCTAGTCACTTCTACCAAGCAATTTACTTTTCTTTACCTTTGGTCAAACATTTTAGTGAAGTAGTAAATTAGTTCAAATATATATATTTGAATATATATGTATGTGTGTGTGTGTGTGTATACACATACACATATGTATGCATGCATATGTGTGTGTATGTGTGTGTAAATACATACATATATACTTTCTTCATTTCAGTGTTGAAGACAGTTGATAGAGTGTGGGCTGGCTACTGGAAGATCATCTGTGTTAGTTCTGCAAGATGCAGTAGTGTGGAAGCCCTCTCAGAAATTCTTCAGAATAATTACATTTCTAGGAATGCTATTGAGTGAATTCCATTCATATCTTGTGTTCTAGAGTTACAGGCTGATATCAATGGTTTCCAGATTTGTGTTCACACTGTCCTTCAAAATGGCTTCTTAAAACACTTTCTATTGCTAATGTCCAAAAAGAAAGAGATTATCAGTGTTGACATGTTAATAAGCTCTGCATCTTTAAATAATATCCACTTCCTTACTCTGATCTACATAAAGTCAAATAATCATGACATTCTCCATCCTCTTGGAGAAGGATTGAGGTGGTGGGATTAAAGGTATTTCACCTATGATTGATAATATAAACAGGAGAAAAGAGTACCAATACATGAAAAATGAGTTTGGAAGTGAAAACTTATTGAATATCTCCAGGGACAAGATAAGTCTGAACAGCATAGAGTTCCATTTACTGGAGGTCTGTACTCTAAGATTATGTCAGAATTTTCTTCTACTAACATTGCAGCTATTGCTATTGATCTTATGCAAGGGAAATAAATTTTAGGTATTGAGTTGATGCAAACTGTAATATACATTGAATATCTGATTCCATTGTATATCTGAGCTAAAATTCCAATTTTTAATTGTTCCTTTCCTGCACACACACATACACACACACAAAGAAGATATACATATATAGAAGACCCAGGGTGGAAAGATGTGAAACAGTTGTCATGATGTTGTCAGAGCTCAATTTCATGTGAACCTCTCAAGGTAAAGTGATGAAAGTTTTAGGCATGACATTAAGATGGAAGCTATTTTAAAAATAATTGGTAATCCACTCTGTGAAACATTCTTTAGGTCCTAGCAGTTCTGCATTTTCTTTTGGTAAAAAGGGTGAGGGAAATTTTTAATAGGTGTAATCTTACCTAATGTTGATTTTCTTTCCTAAGATGTGTCTTAGGCTAATTAGTGACCCTTGTGTTAGATAAGTTACCATTTGTCCTTAGATAGACAAATTTCCAGGAAATAAAAACAATTTCTTGAAAAGAAATTACATCAAAAGAACAGAAGAACATATCATTGATATTTTGAACTAGGTAGGAGAACAGGAACATTTTACTTTTTAAATATTACACTTGAAAACTTTATGAGCAGGCTTCAGTGAAGTCTGTGAAGACATGGTTCAGTTCATTTTTGTTTTATCCATGTTAAGAAAAAAGTATCTAGATTCAGAATGTAAGGGAATATTAAGGAAGTTCAAAAGAAATATACTACTTGGATGTGCTGAATTACAAGGTATAGAAAATACAAGAGTATATTGGTATGTGATTATAATGGAATTTTTTATATACCATTAAAGTACCATGTGTCTGTCAGTTTGTTGTACTGTGGTGGCTTGTATATTTCTGTAAGGCTGGAGGATATTCCACTGGTATTTCAAATACTAGCAGGGTCACTCATGGTAAACAGGTTTCAGCACAGCTTCCAGACTAAGACACATTCTGAAGAAGGAAGGGGCCATTTACTTCTCAAATACTGGGAAGTGAAAACTTTATGAATGACAGTGAAACACTGTCGACATATTAATGTAAAACTTTATGAATAAAGATGAAACATTGTCTGATATAGTGATGGAAGATGAGCCCTTCAAGTTGTAAATCACTCAAAATATAACTGTGGAAGAGTTGCCTCTTTAAAATTGAGTAGTCTTTAATGACATGGATGGAGTAAAGCTTTTGGGACTTTCATTTACTGATGTGGCATGATTCAAAATGGGAAGACAGATACAAATATCCATTAATAATACGAATATGAAATGGGTGAAGTATGAATCTAGGCAAATTAGAAGTTGTCAAAAATGAAATGGAATGCAAAAACATTGATATCCTAAGCATTAGTGAGCTGAAATGGACTGGTTTTGGACATTGTGAATCAGACTATTGT